CCACCAGAAGATGGTGAGTTCTAGTCCCACCTCAGGCACGAAAGCCAACTGGGTGACTTTGGGGAAAATCACCAGGAGATGGTGAATTCTAGTCCCACCTCAGGGATGAAAGCCAGCTGAGTGATTTTGGGCCAATCACCAGGAGACGGTGAGTTCTAGCCCCACCTTAGGTATGAAAATTGGCTGGGTGACTTTGGGCCAATTGCCAGGAGACAGTGAGCACTAGTGTCTTGGGCATAGAAGCTGGCTGGGTGACTTTGGGCCAGTCCCTCTTTTTCAGGCCAACCCACCTTACAGGGTTGTTTTTGTGGGGAAAATAGGAGAAGGAAGGAGGCGTGTTCATTACCTTGGGTTGATACAAAGAAAAATAAAAGTGGGATGAAACAAATAGTTAATCCAGTCACCAGTTTAAACCTGTTGAACGAATGCAGCCAGGGTGCATTTTATTCCCTAGGTCAGGAGTGTCAAATTCGATTTCATTGAGAGCCACATCAGGGTTGTGTTTGACCTCGGGGGCCAGGGTACGTGTGGCCAGCTTGATGTTACTCATGTCGGGGGCGCCTGTGGCGACCCGAGCACTCTGAGAGCGAAAATGGGCTCCTGATCTCAGTTTTCAGCTGCAACAGCCTCCTGCAGCACTCTGCCAGAGAAAATGGGTGCAGGAGGCCGTCACAGCCAAAAATGGGACCTGGGGGGGCCACACGTGGCTCTCCACGGCTCTGTTTTCACTGGCAAAGGCTTCGTGGGCCCCGTGGGCTGGATTGGCTCTCGGACTTTGAGTCTGACACCCGTCCCCTGCCCTAGGAGATATGCTAAAAACTGTAACCAAATTCTTAAAAGCCATTCAGCTGCTTATGAGCCTCGGTGGCGCAGTGGTTAGAGTGCAGTACTGCAGGCTACTTTTGCTGGCTGCCGGCTGACTGCAATTTGGCAGTTCGAATCTCACCAGGCTCCCTCCCTTTCCCTCCTCCTCTTCCCTCTTTCCTTTCCCTTCTCCTCCTCCTTCCCTTCTTTCCTCCCTTTCCCTCCTCCTCCTTCCTTCCTTCCTTTCCTCCTTTCCCTTCCTGCTCCCTCCTTCCCCTCCTCCTTCCTTCTGTCCTCCCTTCTCCTCCTCCCTCCTTCCTTCCCCTTCTCCTCCTCCTTCTTTCTGTCTTTCCTCCCTTTCCTTCCCCCTCCTCCCTTTCCTTCCTTCCTTCCTTCCTTCCTTCCTTCCTTCCTTCCTTCCTTCCTTCCTCCTTCCCTCTCTCCCTCCTCCTCCTCCCTCCCTCCTCCTT